CTTACCGAAGACCTGCCCTTGGAGAGTGGCTGGGCCCAGAGGTCACGCACGGCCCCGGGGCCGCTTTCCATAGGCCGCTTTCTCTGGGCCTGCCTTCTACCGAGACAGAGGGCCCACTCCCCGAGCAGTGGCCTCGGCACGCTGGCCGCATCCTCCTCACGTGCTCGGTGGAGGAAGTGAGGCTCCCAGGGGCTGGGGGCCCAGGGGGCCGGCCTGCAGCTGGGCCGGAGCAGGCTGGGAGCCAGATCGAGGGCATCTGATTCCTAGTCCCGTCCCTTTCCCACTGAGCCACTCCGCCTCGCTTTTAATTTAATTAGGAGAACATTTAATCCCCCCGTGCATTTCAGAGACGGGGCTGAGCCGGCCGGGGCTGGGAGGCTGTGACTCACGCAGCCCCACACGGCACTCCCGGGCGGGCTCCCACGGGGTTTCCTTGGCACCTCGTGCAGACAGAGGTGGTCTGGAGCCCTGAGAAGACAGGACGCCGGTCTGGAAAGACAGACTGGTCTCGTCTGCGCCCGGCAGGCCCCCTCCCTCACCCCGCTCCGTTCTCTGGCCCCCCAGCAGCCCCTCCGTCCTTCCCCAGCTCGGTCTGCAGGGCGAGAAGCAGAACGAGGTGGCCACTCGCGCCGCGAGCTGCAGCTGGCCCTGGGGTCCCCGAAACGCCTGTGTACCCCCAGTCCCTGGAGCCTGGTGCAGGGCCGAGCCTGGTGACATTTGCCCCCGTTTCCAGAAGGCAAGGGGCTGGCCCTGGCCTCGCTGACAGGCGCAGAATTGAGGAGATGTTAGTACTGATGTGGATGAAAGCCAGGCCGCAGCAGCCCTGCAGGGACGGGGAGGTCGGGCGCTCCGGCGTGAGACGCTGCAGGGTCCAGGAGGAAGCTGGCGACATGGAGATTCTAATTCACGCACGCGGGGCTGGTTTTGCTCAAGGGCCGTCGGGCTGCCCTGTTACAGCCGGGCCCACGAGCACACAGTTGCTGGTGGCCACCTGGGAGGGCCCCGCCCTCCCCGGAAGGCCCTCCCTGCGTCCGTCTGTGCCCGGGGTGTCCCGCTGTGCTCTCCCCGGCGGAGCGGGACGGGGTGGGGGTGACGGGTAGACCGGAGCGGAGCCTCGCCCCCTCCAGGGACAGAAGAGACGGAGGAGGCCTGCGGTCACCTCCCGCAGAGGAACCCGTCAGGGCCACAGGCTGCAGTGTTCCCGCTGGCCTGGCCTCTCACGCCGCCTGCCTCGGGTGTCCGCGTGCAGGCCCGTGGGACAGGCGCGGACTCCTGGCCACACTTGCCTGCCTTGGCAGAGGTGGCGTGGGGCTTCCTGGAAATGGCTGCCCTGTCCCAAGGCCGCTGGGAGAGGGGTACCCAGGCCACAGCCGTACACGGGCCCGGTCCGGGCCACAGGTCCTCATGCCGAGGCCAGCTCGGGCCTGGCCGCCCACTGCCCGTGTGCCGGCATGCACACCGAGGCTCCCACACACCTCCCCACCTCACCGCAGGGGAGGCCCGCCTGGCCCTGCTGCGATCCTGCCTGCCCAGGGGCCGGAGCCGCAGTCCGGAAGCCCCTCCTAGCCTGGGGCTTCAAGACCGCCAGGGGGAGAGCTCCTGAGAGGAGACCGGCCCCCCAGAAGGGTCCCGGCCCCTGAACTCAGGGCTCAGGGAGCTGGTGTGGAGGCCTTGACAGCCAGTGGGCTTGGCGGCCCAGGCCTCCCTGGGGTAAAGGTGGCGGAGCAGAAGTCGGAGAGTCGGGTAGGAACCTGACGGCTGCAGATGAGTGACAGGGGTATTTGAGATGGGGACTCTGTGTGCGAGAGGTGCTCCCCCCCCCCCGTCAGTGGCCCCCAGTGGCCACAAAGCAGTAGGTGAGGCAGGAGCCCATCCCAGCTCCTGTTGGGGGCAGAGCTCCCCTCGTCTCACGGAGTTGGGGAGGGGGCTTTCCCGGTCCTCCCCATTGCCCGAGATGCCCCACCTCTGCCTTCTGCTGGCCCGAGAAGCCCCGCGGCGAGGCTCTGGGAGGGGGGACACAGGTGCCGACAGAGGCTCCCCTCTGGCCCCGCCTGCCCTGCAAAATTGTTTTCCTAGAAGGGGTTCATCGGGCTAGGGAGCTGGGTGTGGGGGGAGGCAGGGCTGCATGGGATCTGGGGCTCGCATGTGGGGCTGGGGTGGCCAAGACCACTCTGTCCCCAACCCAGTGTGCCCCAGTGACTCCCAGATTGCACCAGAGCTGCTCACGGCCCCCCAGCTCCCCGCCCCTCGCCCCGGCCAGAGGCCCCGGAAAGACGAGCTTCGCCCAGCCCCAGGGACCTTCCTGTAATCAAGGCTGCAGTGACCTCACCTCCCTGGGGCCCAACGGGTGGGGAGAGCTCGAGATGGAAACAAAATGTGTCTTTATTTATGCTTTTAATTTGAATTCTGGATCCGACCCAGCGTGGTAATACATTGAACATCAGTGAAACGCTGAAGAAAAACGGATCTGTTTTTCAGTAAGTGCTTCCCACCCCCTCTGCCCCATGTGGGACCCCCGTGCACACCCCTGCCTCTTTCGCACACACCAGGGCAGGTGTCCACGGGGCCAGGCTGCCCGCGGGAGCCTCGACGTGTTCCCCAGTTCCCCAGCAGCCAGAGCTGTGTAGTTAGGGGCATCATCACGAGGAGCACTGGGCGGGAGGGGAAGGAAGGCGCGCAGCCCCAGCGCGGGCACGGAGGGCAGTCACAGTGCCCGCCAGAGCCCCCTCTTCCAGCCATGGAGGGCGGGGCCGCTGCCCAGCCTGCAGCCCTGGGGCGCCTAGGCTCTGAGGCCCCCACACCTCTCACTGAGCCTACATCACGCACTGGGGTTCCCCAGGGCACAGTGCCCTGTACTGAGGACATGTTCACGCAGATGCCCTGCGGTCTCCGCCTTGACTCTGACCTGACGGGACAGCACTGTCTTGAGGTGGCCTCTCCCCTGCCACATGGGCTCCCTGCTCGCAGCACCCACCACAGACCCAAGTGCCATGCTGAACCCCTTCCCACCTCCCCAGCTGGCTCCCTTCCAGCTGCTGCTGGCCGGGTCCGCTGGGAGAAGCCCTTGCATGAGGACCTGGCTGGGCCAGGACTGGGGCATAGGCTCAGACAGCACTGGGGGTGACAGGCGACACCTCTCCCGCCGCAGCCAACCTGCCACACTGGGAGCGCCAGCCCGAGAAGGCCCCCGGCGGGTGTTTGGGACGGGGACACACCCCGTTCACAGCAGGCATCCTGGCCATTCCAGTCTGGTGGTCAGTCTTGGAAGAGAAGCAACCCAGCGGCCCTGATGACACTGCCCCTGCGGCTCAGGTTGTCTCCTGGGGCTCCCCGGGCAGCCCGTGGCCCCAGGAAGCTCAGTGCATGCCGACGGCCCAAATCCCTGAAGGGGTGACTTGAGGGCAGCCGTGGTTGTGGGCCACCTGGATCCCCAGCTCTTCATCACCCTCACCCCAGGCCTCCCTGTGGGGCTCCCGCAAGGCCAGGGAGCTGGTGAGGCCTTGTCACCCTGCTGGACGCTTGGTGGTGACAGCCCCGTCCTTCCCGGGTGGGACTCCTCATGTGTGTGTTTGAGGGGCTGGGCCACGGCGGACAGATTACAGGGGAAGTGGCTCCAATGGGAGGGCGGTGGCGGGAACAGTGCACCTGCGTGGAATCGCCTGCCTGAGGGTCATGGCTGGCCCAGCCCTGAGCCGGCACTGCCACCCATGTCGCACACAACACCAGCCACGGAACACCAACTTTGGCCACGCTGCAGTCTCTCTCATGCCCTGGACTCTCGTCAAGGCCTCGGCCGACGCGGTTAAGTCCACATTCTGCCTTCAGGCACCCACCTGGGCCTGCACGGCCTGCCTTCCGTGGCTCTTCACACCTCTGCCCTCGCCCATGGGTCCGGCAAGCCTGTCTGTCACCTCCAGGATGGATGGGGGCCTGGAAGCTCGCGCCACTGCTGGGTCCACGAGGACGAGTGGCCCAGTGGGCTCACGTCGGGTCCGGGAACATGTCCTGCGAACACGCCCCCCCCCCCCCCCACCGGGTGCTGCCTGACTCCCCATGAGCCCGGTGGGGCTGGGGGTGGGGGGAAAGACGGCGGGCGGGTCCTGTCCTGCCAGGCCCACGTGAGCAGCGAGGAGGCCCCGCGATGTGGCCCCAGCTTCCGCAGTCCCCGAGGGCCTCGCCCTGACAGCGGCGCACACGGCTCACGACGACCTCGGGACCCCCACAGAAGGGACACACCCTCCGGAGAAATGTCCATGGGGAGGAAACCGTGTCAGCAAGCGACTCTGCGAAGGGCTGAGGGGAGCGCACACATCCCAACCCAGGAGGACTCCTCGGGGGAGCCCCCAGCGGGGCGGCGGCCAGACAGCGCCCGAGTGCCCCACTGACCCCACCAGCGCGGTCACCGCTGGTGCCCCTGCCGGGAGCACTGAGTCATCGTCGCAAGGGAATCCACCGCGGCCGGGCCCTGGGGACTGGCCTGGCGATGCCGTGATGGCGGGGGAGGGCGGGCGGGCGTCCCAGGCCAGCTGTGCCTCGGGGGAAGGCCAAGTGGAAGGCGTGGAGAATCAGCCATTTCCTCCACCTGAAGGAGCCCCTGTGGACAGCGGCGGCATCTGCCCCGGGGCCCTGGCCAGGGTTCTAAGGGAAGAGGCTAAAAAACAAAGTCACCTCTTTTTTTGGGGGGGGAGGGGGCGAGAGGAGAGAAAAACAATCTTCTCAGACGCTCAAAGCACAAAAACAAGTGGAAGATGATCAGTTTGGTTTTCCATAAGTCAAAGCAAGCGGATCATGTTCCTGGACTTGGCGGGAAATGCCCTCGGCTCTTCCCCACCCCTGCTCAGTGCCCGGGCCCTGGGTAGCCGGTGGCCCCAGGTCGCGGAGGGCGGGCGGCAAGCGGCGGGCTCTGGGAGAGTGGGCCTAATCCCCGGCGTGGCACCGAGGCGGCCCTCTTGAGCCCCACGCCCCTCCAGCCCGTTCTCTGCGGGCGAGCGGGCACTCACTGTGACACGTGGGTGATGGGCACCAGCAGCGTCTCCCCCTCCAGGTCCAGGTCCTCGGCAAAGCTGTTGGTTCTCACGAAGTGGGGCGTGCTCACTTCTAGCAGCATGGGGCTCTTCTTGGCTGTGGGGAAAGGTGTGGGGCGGCACGTCAGGCCTCGTCCGGAGGCTCACCGGGGAAGGGGGCCCGGGGCTGGTCAGAGCTGGGCTCACATGCCTGCCCCAACCTGTCCCCCCAGCCGTGCGACAGACTTGCACGGCCTGAGCCTTCCCACAAACGGACAGGACATCTGCTTGCAGGGCTGGGCGAGAAGTGGGCACAGCGTGCGGCGCCTCCCCACCAAGGATCCGGTGTGGGGGTCAAGGTGGCCCCCGTGCGCCTGAGGCCGGGGAGCTGTGGAGGGCCCCCGACACCTGGGCAGAGTGAGGCCTCTGCCTGGGTGTTTAGGTCGGTCTCCAAGTTCACCCTTGATGCTCAGGTCGACAACGAAATACGGCTGATAAGCACAGGTCTGGTGAGAGACACGCACTCCTGCCACCACGCCTCCTGCAGACGGAGGGCCTTGCGTCAGCGGAGACCCAGGGCGGTAGCGCTCCTGCCCGCGAGGAGCCGCAAACCCAGGAGAGAGGGGCAGCCACCGAGCTCCCGGCCCCTCGCCTGGCCGCAGCGCCACACCTACCACCCGTACCCACCATCAAGGGTCTGGGTATCGTTCAGGCTCCCAGGCTCACCCCCCTACAATCTGGTGCTCAGCGTGGCTAAGCATACGTATCCATCCCCGGATTCTCAGTTCGGACTTATTTTTTTTTGCCCTTCATTTAAAGTTAGTTTTGTTTTTTTTTTTTTAAAAGAAAGTACTCGTCGTAAAAAGTGACACAACTCGGATTCACGAAGGCCCTCCTCCTTCAAGGTCAATGGCCGACTGGATTCCTAGCCCATCTCTGTCTGCTCGGCAGCAGCTGACACCAGGTAAACTTTTTTTTTTAAACACACATGTGACAGCACTGTCCCTGTCACTCTGAGACACACTCATTTCATTTTTCTGCAGGTGTACAGATGTGGGGCTGTGTTTTGGTGGTTGGATGATGGTCCGTGGTTCATGCCTGCTATGGTGAACTCAACCGTTCTGCGTTTGTTGGCCCCTGAGGCCCCGTTAGCTTTCAGCCACTACTTTGAGAGGATGATGAGCCTCCCATTTGTATGGAAAGCTGACACCGGGCCGGGTGAGAGGGTGCTTCCCAGGTAATTTTAACAGCTGTTGCTGGATGGCTTTCCCAAGAAATTATAGCGGTGCAGGCTCCACCCGCCAGCGGTGTGTGAATGTGACAGCTTCCCCACACCCAGGCCCAAAGCAGCCATCGGCACCCTACCGGGGCGCGCTGGGCATGGATGAAGACAGGATGCCGGTTTTCCTTTTCCGCTGAATGCCTTTTGTGGCTTGGAGGTCGCGTGCATTTCCTCTTGCAGAACTGCCTGTTCATATCTTTTGCTCATTTTTGCTTGCCAATCTGTAGGAGTTGTTTATATATTAAAGATGTTAACTTTTTGTTACAGAAGGCACGGATATCTTCCCCAGTCTGTCTTTGGTCTTTCAGCCCTTGGGATGGTGGTTTTTATCCGAGAAAATGTTTTATGTGTTTAAAGTGATAACACCTGTCTTTTGTTTTGTGAAAAAGGAAGATTTTCCCACTTCAGAGGCATATAGCTATCTCCTGAATTATTTGTAATATAAATGTACGAATGTTGTATGTAAGTTTTAATACATTCAGCGTTTATGCCTAACATTATGGGTAATTATCAACAATCTGAAAATGTAGAAGTATTGTGTACAATCTTAAACTAAAGCATAAACTTTCTTGAGAAAATCTCTGGACCTTGGATTTGGCAATCAGGCTTTTAAAAACTTTTTTCTAATGTTTGTTTATTTTGGGGGAAAGGGGCAGAGAGAGAGGGAGACGCAGAACCCAAAGCAGGCTCCAGGCTCCGAGCTTTCAGCACAGAGCCCGACGCGGGGCTCGAACCACAAACGGCGAGACTATGACCTGAGCCGAAATCAGATGCTTCACTGACTGAGCCACCCAGGCACCTCGGCTATGAGTTTTGAAGTACAACGCTACAAGCTCAATCTGTGATGGGAAGAAATGGACAAATTGGACTTTATCAAACTTCCAGGCATTTGCTCTGCAAAAGACACTGCTAAGGGAAGCAGAGATAAGCCACGGACTTGAAGACAGTGTTTCCACATCAGCCGTTTGGTCAAGGACTTGTATCGAGAATATATAAAGAACTCTTGCAGCGTGATATGGCGTGGGTGACAGGCAAGCACATAAAAAGATGCCCAGGCCCACGGACGCCAGCAGCTGTTAGCACATCCTCACTGAGCTGCCACAACATCCCTACCGGAATGGCTGAAATAAAAAATCAGCAACTGAAGCCAGACGATGCCACGCACACAGGAGGGCGTGGAGCACCCGGGACTCAAGCCACTGGCAGAAACACAGAGTGATGCCACCGCCTCGGAAAAGACGTGGGTGGTTCCTTACAGCGTTGACCCTGCACATGACCCAGCGGTCCTTCGCTGAGGCGAATCGGAGATGTACGTTCACAAATGCCTGTACGTGAGCATGTATAGCACCTTCGCTCACAATCGCCAAAGCCTGGGAACAGCCGAGGTGCCCTTCAGTCGGTGGATGGACACACTGCCGTGTGCGAACGGTGGCCCACCACCCAGGAACCGGAAGAAATGAACTGAGGATTCCTGCAGCAACGTGGGGGTACTCTCAGATGCACTGCGCTCCGCAGTGAGAGAAGCCAGATGTGAAAGGCCGCATGTTATATGATTACCTTTATATGACATTCAGGGAAAGGCAAAACCACAAGGACATAAACCAGATCGATGGTGGCTAGTGTTTGGGGGAGGGAGAGCCTCCGACTTCCAGAGGCTCGCTCGAGGGAACCCCCAGGGCTGTCGGACTCCTCTGTGGGGTGCTGTGGTAGGGGATCTGTGAACCCAGGCATCTCTCAGAGCCCATGGGCTGTAGATCTCCAAGAGTGAATTTTATACAAACTGAAGGAAAAAAAAACCCAAAAAACCCAGCCGGGCCGCCGGAGGATCCTAGGAATGAAAGCAGACTGTGAAAAGTGAGTCCCGTGTTAGGAACGTAGGACTACCTACCACACGGCACGGAAGGGAAGGGAAGCGGGAGACCGCATACAGAGCCTCGGACAAGCGTCTGTTGAGCGCCACAAACATTAGCGCTCTAGTCGGTACTTAGGCTTCTCGGAGGGGGCCTGCACGGACACAGGTCAAACAAATAAGTAAATAAATGATAGATAATGGGAGCCACGTGTCTCGCTGTCCGAGAAATAAAGTAACGCACCGAGTATGTGTGTGTGAGAGATGGAGTGGGTGGGCGGGATACGAAGGAGTCCTGTGGCCGGAAAGTTCAGCCTGAACTCCTACTTCACTGAATAGGCCACTAGTGTATACTCGGGTTGTGTGCGCCCGCCTCCCGGCTCCACCCACCGGGAAGCCCAGGAGCGGGGGTCACACCCTGCACCAGAACCTGGTTCCTAAAAGTCATTCGTTCCCCAGTAAAAGCAAGCAGGGCTCTGTGGCCGAAAGAGGATTCTGGGCTGGGGCAAACGCGCGATGGGCCTAAAGTACTGTTTTGTGCCAGAAAGGAAGGGAATGCTCAAGAAATAAACGGGAGGTACGTCAGATGGACACAGGAACTAACCCAAAAGGACTCTCGAGCCAGTGGCCAAAGCTAGAACGTGGTGAGCGACAAAATAAACAATCGTACTATCAGTAGTGCTACTGAATTCCAGCCCCAAAAAGAAGTATGCCTGAGTCCATACGGATACAGATTAACAAACAAATGAGGGACAAGTCTTCCTCCAGGGATGGATGGTCAGATTGGCAGGTGACACTTAAAGGAGAAACTTCAGGGTACCTCCCCTCAGATATTTCCTCCCTGCGGTGGCGGTTCCCACAGATGCCCACCAGGTCCTCCACGGGAACTCTGTCCTAGGGCAGGTAGAGCACGAGCCCCCTCCCCGAGAACATGGCCGACTCAAGGACTCCCTCCCACCACCAGGCTATGGACACAGGAAGCGGGTGCCGCCTCAACCACACGAGTCAAGGTTAGCAGCGTGGGTGACCGACCACGTTGGTGCCGTGGACCCCAATACGATGCGGCGGGTGCAGCCCCTGACTTCGCGGCGTTCTCCCCTCAAACCCTAACCCGGTCGCGGGACACTGAGACCCGACTGGGGTTCCTCAAGCGTCAAGGTCACGGAAGCCAAAGGAGGACTGAGGACAAGTTTTCGCAGCTCAGGAGAGACCTGCCGAGTATGAGCGTACAAGTAACTACTCGGATCTTGGAACAGAAAAAGGACGCTCCAAGTTAGACTGGGGAAATCTACACAAATGGGCCAGACTGTGGCTTAATAATAGTGTTGTTGCAGTTTCTTGGTTTTAATAACTACAAGGGTTACAGAAGATGTGGGCACTGGGGGAGGCTGGTACAAGGTATACCAGACGGGGACTCTGCTATTTTGGCCTCTCGTATAAATAAAGAAAAGCATTTTGAAAGTTGAAGCAAGAAAATTAGAAACCCTAAAACCAAAAGCTAAGCAAATCCTGTATACGACAGTACAAAATATTCTGTATTAATTAAGGATCTACAGGCACCCTAAAGGGAAATTACCAAGAGGAAGATATCACCAAATGAAGAAATATGCTTCTGCCTCAGTGTCTGGAAGACCCAGTAGTGAAGAGTCTCCTTGGGCCTTAATAAAACCCCTGGCACCTGATTCTAAAACTGATCTGGAAAAGCAAAAAGCCAAGAATCAATCACATTCTTGAAGAGCAGTGAGCTGGGTGCGCCCGCTCTACAGGACATCGGCACTTCTCGAAAAGCCGTGGTCATCGAGACGGTGTGTTGTGCTGTGGACACGGAGCGCGGCCGCCGGCCAGCAGGACATGGCCGAGCCCCCGGAAGTGGCCCACCTGCACTGGGGCGCTTGCCGCGTGCCCCAGGCGGCCTGCATATGGCGGGCGGAAGATGTTCGGGGACAGCTGGCTGTCCACGTGGGAAAAACGTTCCATCGGACCCTCACGCCACACACCAAAAATTCATTCTTGGCATTCCGGGCAACTGGAGACTTAACGGAGAAAAGCAAAGCTCTGGAACCCATAGAACTGAATCTGGGAGAAGAGCGTCATGACCTCAGGCTTTGGAAGGTTGGAAGAGTTTCCTGAAACTTAAACAAAATACCCACGTGGGGAAAGACCAGTGGGTTCCGCAGCACCAAATCCAAGCCCTGCTCCTCAGCCACCACCCTCCAGCGCGAAACAGCAGCCACAGACGAATGGTATCTTCAAAATACAGACAACTCAACGCAGATCCGTAAGGAAAATAGGAACAATCTAATGAAAAAACGGGCAACGAGCACCTCACCAGAGAGGAATCGAAATATCCTCAGGGCACGTGCAAAGGTGCTGTGCCTGACTAGCACTCAGAGAGCTGCAACTCGGAGCTCACGGCCGGGGGGAGAGAGGGGGGTGAGGGGCAGGCTTCCAGCAGGAAACTGCAGAGACATGACTTAGTCACACCCGGGAGAAGGGCTCTGAGTGAAGGGATCTCTGCCCGTGACATTCCCAGAGAGCGCAGGAAAGTGACCGGTAAGCCTCGAAGAATGTGTGTACATTCAGAGGCTCACAGGCCTGGGACCTGGCGAGCACGGAGGCCCGGGGCCGAGATTCAAGTGCCCTGGGTTATATTATACAGTTGTCAAGTGACAGGGCTGGAGCTTCGTCCAGGATTCAAATGTTCTTTCAAAAAAAAAAAAAAAAAAAGGGAAAAAGAACACAAATACATATTTTTATGTCTGCATCACTTGTATACAGAACAAAGACGGCGGAACGGTGGCTGGAGAAGGGGCCGCATTCTAAACACCCCAGGTGACAAGTGCCATCTCCAAAGCCGCGGGCCAAGGCAGAGCCACCCGACCCCCAAGAAGCGCCCGGCCCTGGTGTTTTGGGAAAGTGAAGTGTGCACCTCAGTTGGCCGTCCAGGGCGGGGCCTGCACCTGCCAGAGAAGAATGTGTACTGTTTGGTTTAATCCTGGGAACAGCGCAGGGGCCCCGCCGCGAGGGGCAGCCAGGGGTTCCGCAGGTGGGTTTTTCCAAACCGAAAGGGAGGGCGCTGATCTGCCCCGTTTCTGTGTCAGGGACTGCGGGGGCCGCCTCCCCCGCCACGGGCAGGCAGGGGCCGGGGGCCGCAGACCCCCTCCCCGTCCCCAGCTGCCGCGGCGGCTGGGGGATGGGACGCAGGCTCTCTCCGCAGGTACGGCGGCACACTGCCCCCTTCAGGCGAGGGCCCTCGGAGGGCAGGTGCGGTCCCGAGAGGGCGGGCTTGTCGCCCCTGCCTCCGAGGGGCCCCAGAGGGGGCAAGACAAGGGACTCGGCCCCGGCCTCCCGGCTGCGGAGCAGGCCCGGCCCCGCGGTGGAGCCCGCAGGGCGGCCCGCCCGGCCCCTGGGCTCCCAGGAGGTGCCGCGTCCCGGTCCCCGCGGCAGTGAAGTCCTGCTTCCGTTAGGACTGTCCCTGGTTCTCCGATGCTTCAATTCCTTGGCCGCCTTTGCCTCGTCTGGGCCTCAGTTTTCAGGGCAGAACAATTGTGTTTTCTAGGAAAATGGGAGGTCTGGGATGGCGAGCGCGGCCTCTGGCGTGGCGACCGGCACAGCTGGTGACGCCGGCTGCCAAGGCTCACCCTCCCCCCAGAGGCCAGAGCCCGGCAGGACAGCGGCCTCCTTCCCGGCCAGCAGCCCCGCTCACTAGGGCGATTGAAAGTTCCCGTG